ACAGACATACGGACAGACGGATGGACAGAAGGACGGACAGACGGAAGGACAGACAGAAGGACAGACAGTTGGGCAAACGGACGGACAGACAGGCGGACACACAGATGGACAGAAGGACGGACAGGTGGATGGACAGACAGACGGACAGATGGACAAACGGACAGAAGGACGGACAGACAGAAGGACGGACAGACAGAGATACAGACGGATGGACGGACAGACGGACACACGGACAGAAGGACAGATGGACAGACAGACGGATGGACAGACAGACAGACGGACGGATGGAGAAATGGACGGATGGACAGACAGATGGACGGACAGACGGACAAACAGACGGACAGACAGGCAGAAGGACAGATGGACGGACAGACGGACGCAGAGAAGAACGGACAGACAGATGGACGAAGAGACAGGAGGACAGACGGAGAGACAGTTGGGCAAACGGACGGACAGACAGACCCACAGACGGATGGACAGACCAATGGACAGACAGACAGGCAGACACACGGACAGAAGGAGGGACAGACACACGGACAGACAGACAGAAGGACGGACAGACAGACGGACACACAGACAATCGTACAGATGGACAGACAGAAGGACGGACAGGCAGATGGACGGACAGACACACGGACGGACAGAGAGATGGAGAGACAGACGGGCAGACAGATGGAGAGAAGGACGGATGGACAGACTGATGGACAGACAGACAGATGGAGAGACAGACGTATGGACAGAGAGACGGACAGATGGACAGACAGACGGAGAGACAGATGGACAGATGGACAGACGGACGGAGAGACGGACAGACAGAAGGACAGACAAAAGGCCACACGGACAGACAGATAGACGGACAGACAGAAAGACTGACAGACAGGACAGACAGATAGAGAGATGGACAGACGGACAGACGGATCGATGGACAGACAGATGGACACGCAGACAGATGGACGGACAGACAGATGGAGGGACGGAAAGACAGACAGACAGATGGAGGGATGGACAGACAGACACACGGAGAGACGGATGGACAGATGGACGAGGGCACACACGGGGAGACAGACAGATACACGGAGTGACACATGGACACATGGAGATACAGATGGAGAAAGACACGGACTCACAGACAGACGGACAGATGGAGAGACATATGGATGGACAGATATGTCTTTTGAAAAAAGGATAAACACCCAGCAGCACAAAGCACAGACTATCCCACTGGAAGCCCACAGCCGGGCACTGCACTCACCTGCGGTCCCTGGCAGGGAACTGCCCGTACCCTGGAAGCAGCTCCCATAACCAGCCCGTTCCTTGGCAGCCCTTTGCACAGCAAGTGCTGTCACCTGCAGTAATAAAGGAGGTATCTTGGCATGGGCCATGGAAACTTCTGTTTCGGCAGAGACTGATGATATCAATATCCTGGGGGGGAAAAGGGAACCACACAGGCTAGGTGGCAGGAAGAGCAGTGGCCTCTGACTGCAGTTTACCTCTCACAGCACCCTGGCCATATGCTGCTGCCTACCTTTACCCACTGAGTCATCAGCAAGGAAAGGGGGAATTTTTCCCCCTTTGTGGCCTCTTTACAGCATGAATTGGGGAGATCACTTTACCCTAATAAAGCATCCCTTTTCTATCTGCATTGTCCAAGTGTGCTTCACTATTACAGTATCCATTATATTGAGTTTGTATCATCTTCATATCTACAGGGCATGAGAGATTTCCTTCACTACAGAGCCTTTATAACAGTCTAAAGGCTCCAGACTGGAGTGGTTTCACATCTGTTTTTTCACACTCACATTCAGCTTTGCAGAAAAACTGCACAGACACATATCAGAAATACCTTCACAATCACTAGTTACTGTTCTTTCATTCCCCCACCAATTGTTTTCCCTTTTCTCTTTCCCTTGATTTCAACCTCTGGCCCGGGGATGAGTGCTGTCTTTGCATCAGCACCTAGTGACATTGCCTGAGGGGAGGTATTTTGGGTCAGTGGGGTTCTGATGCTCCCCCTTACTCACATCAGGCTACAATGAGTGTAACCAGCCCAAGTTCAGCATCGTTTTTCCTCACTCTCAGTAATCTGCTCCAGTGAGCACACACTCACACCAAGATACACAGTTGATTATTACCTGAATATGAAACACTTACTTTTTCTCTTGCTCCATCAAAGAACAGCACTGGTAGATGATACAAAAGCCTCACTTGCATTTTCAAGTGTAAAACATTTCAAATAAAACTCTCAAGACTTTATTAACAGTTGACTTTTTTGTGGTGTATGATGTTGCATGATACAGAAATTAAATATCAGGATTGTATTTCACCATCAAATCCAAAGGGGTTAATAAAGGAGTCTGTTTGCTGATTGTTTTTCTGAGATATAAACCTATAAAAGTACATTAGTTCCTCATCAATTAGCAGTTTATCTCTGCATGTTTCCCAGCGGCCTCCCCAATAGCATCGTGGGGAGGAGTGAAATGGCCACGGGGATTTCGGAACAAATCCTTTGCAGAGAAGATAATAATTTACAATATGTACATTTGTTTACTTCCACCAGAACTGCTACATCTGCTTTACTGACACTAATCAATTAAGCCTGGTTTAATTAATTGTGTTCTCTGAGGAAGGTGGTGTTGACATTTTGCAGCTGGTGCTCGAGAGGGGAGCTGTGGAAGGCAGAGTTCTTGACAGCATCCCTGGTTTGAAGTCCTCCAGCTCCCCACACCCCTGCCAGTGCCCGTGGCCTGTGCTGGGCCTGCAGCTGGAAGAAACATGCTGGATCTGAGCCTTCAGCCCTCCTGCAACTGCCAAGAAACCTTCAAGTGGAGAAATAACAGTCCAAAATCTGACCTGAGTCTAAATAAACCCCAAACCCAGAAACAGATTCATAGATGGCATACCTTGATTTTCTTCTCAGTGAGGCCTCCTCTGTTTATTTACTTATTTAGATTTATCTAAACTTCCTTGGGTCAAACTGGGATGTGATGGGACAGACCTTCTGTTCTGGATCAAGTTAACCTCAGCCCCACGTCTGCCTTGCACATCATTCCTGTGTGTGGCTGCACGTCTTGTTTTACACAGATGGGCAATCATGCATACAAATGCTCCTATAATTTATCCCAGAGTTGCTGAACTGTTTATACAGGCAACTTTCCATCTATTCCTAACACTCCACATCCTACAGAGGTGTTTTCTCTTGTTCCCAAAATATTATTCTTCATTAATTAAATTTTGGTAAAACAGCTACACCTTTGAGAGCTGGAGATTCCTCATCTCCTAACAGGCTCTTTCAGGTCATAGAAGAAGAAAGGCTTAATATTTTCCCCAGTGCTGTGTTGCCTGCTAATTCCTTGTCACAATGGCACACTTACCACCTCTCGCTGGTCTGCTCTGACTGGAGTTTGGCAATGAAACCTTCGCCAACAACCATTTTACAGGTAAAACCTGCACATTTCTCCCTGAAAGCTTATTTTTAAGGGCATTTTCCTTAAAGCAAACTCTTTATCCAGTTTCATAGCTGGGCTGTCCAGCTCCCAGCTCGGCCGTGCCGATTTCAGCACCATTACACCGGGAACGAGTGTGACTCGCTCGATTGTTGCTGGTGGCCCGGTGTCACATGCATTTACTATATCCCTGGCAACAGCCAGGCTGCCCTGTGGCTGTTTAGGAAGAAAGAAATGGAGTGAATCAGAATAAGCCACAGTCCCTGCAAAAAGGGGGAAGGAGAACAGAAAGGAAGAAAGGAGCAGCCACGGAGTGGGGTCTGGGAAGATTAGGTGCTGGTTTGAAAACAACGAGGCGATGAACTAAATCCCAAAGGATTACTTGTCTACTTTCTGGCTGCACCAACAGTCATTTCTCTGCTAATTACCTTCCCCTTTGTGCAGGGGTGCCATGAGCAGGATCTCAGTGCTGGTGCTGCTGTGCCCAGGGGTCCACATGAGGCAGAGCCTGCACAAGGCATGTGCTGGGGGACGTGCCACGGCATCAGCCACCAGGCACATTTCAGGAAGGGTTTTCAGCACCTCGGCTCATTTTGTTTTGCTTGCAAACATCTGAGCTCTCGCATTTGGCAAAATGAAAGCACCGCGTGGCGCTCTCTTTAGGGCTCCACATAAAAATCCTATCAGTGCTTTATAGACAGCAGGATGGTAGTTTTCCCAGCTTCAAATGCTTCCCTGTTCCTGCTACTCATCCAGATGGAAAGGTTCTCCAAACAAAAGCCCAGTAGAGTGAAGGCACGTGTGAGTTTGCTTCCAGACATGTCAGACTGCAAAAATTTGGCTTACTTTTTGCTGCTGGCAAAACTATCATTGAAGGGCATAACTACAGGTTTATCAGAAATGCAAAAAAAACCCTGTCTTGCTGTTCTCTTTCACTTTGTCTTTCCTGCAAGCCAGTTATTAGCAAACACTTGTCAACATTTGACTGCTGTAAGGCAGGTGATTACAAGAAATAAGAAACATTTGGTTTTTCTGAACGTTTTCTGTCTCGCTCCATACCCAGGGTGCTGCTCCCACTTCAAATAGTTTTTCACCGCTGTTATCTGTAGTCCACAGCTTATAACAAAAAGGGTTGATTATGTAAAACCAAAATGACATTGGGCTGTCAAAGCAAAATCCCCTCCCCACAAATGCCGGGCTGGGCCTGGAGCTGCAGCTGGCTGGCAGAGCAGGAGGATTGCCTGCGTGGCAGTGGAGTGGAAGCACATGCTGCCGAGGGGGGCGGCCCGGCAGGAGTGCAGCTCCTGCTCCGGTCCCCCTGCACAGGAGCAGGGTAGCTCCCTCACATCAGTGCCACAGCTGCTTCTGGGCACTGCTTGCTGTGCATCAGAGCGGGCACAGAGGGCAGGGAATGTGTGTGTGGCTTTCACAGTGATAATCTGGAGCCAAGTATTTCCCTGCGGAAGACTTTTGATGTGTAATAGCAGCCATACTCCTCCCCAGTGCTGAATAAATTGTAGCCCAGGAAAAAACCAAAGACTTGTGCTAAGGGTTTGAGTTTTATGCATTAGCTCTGTCTCACAGATCATGTTTATGCATATGAAAAAAAGAACACATGATTAAGTGGATTCTTTCTCCTTCCCCGAGTGCAGGCACACTGCCGATACCCACAAGCTGCATTTCACATCACGTCACGGGGAGCTGTCTTCACTCCTTTGTCTTATTGTCCAGTTTAGGACCAGTACTCCCACTGATAATTTCAATAGAAACTATTACTCAAAAAAAAAATGGTCCCACTTAAGCAGGGACAGGGCTCAACTCACCTCAGCTCAGGCATTTAAAAGCTGCTGCTTTCGGCTTTCTCCATAGGGAATGAAAACCCTGGCACGTCTCCACGGGGCAAAAATTCCTTCCATAGCATCATGTGGAGAGGGCTCCAGAGGTACCTTTCTGCCTTGACAGGGTAGGCAGTCACCTGAAGCTTGGTAATGTGCATTCCCTTTCATTACATTCTTAAATTTTGAATCACCACAGCATCTTAATCTGATGTTTTCTTGGGTCATTTTGTGGAACTCCTCCCCCACCTTATTATAAAAAGGTGTCAAACTTCTCCCTCTTGCAGAATAAGGTTTTAATTTTTAACTCAACAGTAACAGAAACTATAATTTCAGAAAGAGTGCTGTTGTTATATTAGGAAGTCAAAAGGCAGTTTTACGTAGAGGACTGGTTTTTGGTAGAGCTTATTTAGTAGAACTTATTACTAGAATGAAGACGTGGCTTTGATAAATTCCAAACACACCCAAACTACAAATCAGAGTTTTTAACTTCCAAAATACCTCCTCCTTGGCATGCAATCAGCTGACTTTGTTTTCCTCCTTTTTTTCCAGAGTTCTTGGCAACTTCTGCTCTGGCTGTGCTGGTTAAGACCAGTGGTATCTGTAGGATTTACTGCCAGAAGCGGGGAGGGGGGAAAAAATCACTTCAGACCCTTGCTTCAGGCTGTGCCATGAAAGGGAGCTGGAGACATCTATCCCCTGGAGTAAAGCAAATGACATGAAAAAAGCTGACAAATGCAGTTCAAAGCCAAGATCACACCCTGGGACAAGGTCAAGACTATGGAAGGTTTCTGTGTCTTGGAAAGCTGCGTTCATAGGAAAGGGGGTAAACTCACCTTAAATACAAAGAAGAAATCTCTTTGAGCCCAGTTTTTAGGCTCTCTTCAGGAGCTGGGATGTCCCTCTCACTA